GCATACCAAATATCATTGACTTAACATTAGCAGTTCATCTTAAACTGATCTAATCACAAACTAATACATGTAAACTAAGCAAAAGTTTCAAAGTAAATAGACCATGATTGAGGGGTCGGGGCCAAATATTCTCCATGGAAATGAGATGTGCTAATGCTTATACAACTGAACACCAATTAACATTGGCCTACCACTAATGGTTCCCCTTGAACTGACCTAATCACAAACTAATACATGTTAACTTAGCAAAATTTTCAAAGTCTATAGACCATGACTAAGGGGGCGGAGCCAAATAATCTCCATGGAAATGAGATATGCCAATGCTTAAACAACTGCATACCAAATATCATTGATATGACCTACCACAAGTGGTTCCCCATAAATTGACCTAATCACAAACTAATACATGTAAACTATGAAAAGTTTCAAAGTCAATAGACCTTGACTGAGGGAGCGGGGCTAAATAATCTCCATGGTAATGACATGTGCCAATGCTAAAACAACTGCATACCAAATATCATTGACCTACCACTAGTGTTTCACCATGAACTAGACCTAATCACACACTAATACATTGTTGACGCCGCCGCCGACGACGCCGAAACAGCATACCTATGTCTTGCTTTTTGACTCCGTCAAGGCGAGACAATAAAACGTCGGCTGATTTGTGCCATAAGGCTGCAATGTAGGTCTTGTCTTCCTGATCTTTTTTGCTTATTTAAGTTTTTATCTATCTATAACAGTTTTTAAGATATTCAACAATCTAAAATAAAATGCTCCGCAGGGCGCAGCTTGTTACGACCTCAGAGGTCGAACCCTGAACAGTTGGGGCAAGTATGGACACAACATTCAAGCTTGATACAGCTTTGCATTTGGATTGTGATTAAATATTTGACACAGCATAGGTTTCTGACACAGAATGAATGTGGTCTAAGAACTTAAAAATTTTAAATTGGACATTCACCTATTATGGTCCAATATCCAAAATCTAAATACATGGTTAGATTCAGCATATCAAAGAACCCCAAGAATTCAATTTTTGATGAAATCAAACAAAGTTTAATTTTGGACCCTTTTGACCTCAATGTGGACAAAGTTGATAACGGGGCCCAAAAATCAAAAATCTAAATACATGGTTAGATTCAGCATATCAAAGAACCCCATATATTCAAATTTCTTGCTATTGCGCAATACTGTACAATTGACAATTTCTTGCTATTGCACAATATTGTGTTATTGGATATTTCTTGCTATTGCGCAATACTGTGCAATTGAAGATTTCTTGCTATTGCGCAATACTGTGCAATTGAAGATTTCTTGCTATTGTGCAATACTGTGCAATTGAAAATTTCTTGCTATTGCACAATACTTATTATATAATAATTTACCCATCCTGTTTGGTGTGTATCTCCTACCATACCATTATTATTTGCTTTTAAATATAAATCAGAAATAACCAACTTAAAATGGAAAATTTTAAAAGAAAAAAAAAAGGAAAAAAAGAAAAAAAAGGAAAAATAAAAAAATCCCCCCCCCCCAAATTTTTTGAACTCCCTTATGATTCATCACCCCCAATCTCAATCCCAGCCTTCCCTTTGTGGTATGGTACCTTGCAGTACAATTTCAGAGAGATCCATACACTTGAACGCAAGTTATTGTCTGGAAACTAGAAAAATGTGTTTTTTGGCCCCTTTTTGGCCCCAAATTCCTAAACGTTTAGGGCAATTACCCCCAAACTCAAACCCAGCTTTCCCTTTGTGATATGGAACCTTGTAGTACAATTTCAGAAAGATCCATACACTTACACACAAGTTATTGTCCTGAAACTAGAAAAATGCTAGTTTTTTGCCCCTTTTGGCCCCTAATTCCTAAAATATTGAGGCAATTACCCCCATCATCAATCCCAGCCTTCCCTTTGTGGTATGGTACCTTGCAGTACAATTTCAGAGAGATCCATACACTTGAACACAAGTTATTGTCTGGAAACTAGAAAAATGCTTATTTTTGGCCCCTTTTTGGCCCCCAATTCCTAAACGTTTCGGCAATTACCCCCAAACTCAATTCTAGCTTTACCTTTGTGATATGGAACCTTGTAGTACAATTTCAGAAAGATCCATATACTTACACACAAGTTATTGTCATGAAACTAGAAAAATGCTTGTTTTTTGCCCCTTTTTTGGCCCCTAATTCCTAAAATTTTGAGGCAATTACCCCCAAAATCAATCCCAACCTTCCTTTTGTGGTATTGAACCTTGTGGTAAAATTTCATAGAGATCCATTCACTTAAACTAAAGTTAGAGTGCGAAAACCAATGTTTCTTCGGACGACGACGACGACGCCAACGTCATTCCAATATACAACCACAAAAATTTTTTTGCGTAGTATAAAAAACAAAAATGGTGACCCCAATTTTTATTTAATGTTCCAATCAAAGTACAAGTGTGCAAAATATTTTAGAAATTGGGAGGTATGCCATTCGGTATCGTGTTACCTGTTAAAAACGACTACGTGTACGACTACGCGTATAATTGTTTACATCGTTTATACATTTTGTGTCAAATCAACCTTCACATATTCCAATCATAATTCAGAGATTTCAACCAATCAACGTGAGTTTTATTTCCCCGAAAGGCCAATCAGTGTCTTGTTTGCAAACATTGCGGCTAGCACAAAAACACAAACATTCGAATGCTTGTTGTTTCTGGCTGAGAGAAAATTGCCACCTAACTATTTTTTTTGTAATTTGTACTAACAAGATGCATAGACAGTGATTTAAGAACTGTTTTTTTTCCTTCAAATAAGCAAATAATTGGTAGTTTAGTGCATATTACTTGATGGCAGGTTGTGTTTCTTATAAGAAGAATTTGCTGATAACTGGATTTGGATGTTATATCAATATCAGAAATATTTACCACTAAATGTGCATACAGAAAACAATACCTGATTTCTTCAACGATAAAACTGAACTTGTCATGTCAAAAATTTACACCAAACCTATTTTATCCAAGATTTTCATCCACAAGAGGGTATTAGAGATGTTTACCATCAATGATGTAAAATCTAAACCTCCTGATTGCTTTTGTCATCATCCCCATACAAATATATTCCTTCTGCTCATGTTCAAATTAGAGACCTTAGATTACTTTCAACACTTTTGGCTATATCGTGGTGGCCAATTGTTATTGGCAGAGTATCCAGAGAGAACTACCGACTTTCAATAAGAAAAATGGCAATTGTAGTCAATTAAGATATGAGTCAAACTCACCTGCCATGAGAGGGATTTAAACTCACAACCTTAGTGTTTACAGACTAGTGATAACTGTAGATAACTTCTTAGACCACGAGGCCACTGAGTCCCCCAAAAATTATTATTTGGAATGTCTGATTAAAGAATCTAGAATTCAAAGCTAAAATGGGAATCCCACATATACCTCTACATCATTAACAAAAGAGGAGATTTTAGAAAATCACAAATCATTAATTCCTTCTCTCCTTTGGACACTATTTACACAAAGAGGACATTGAAAATCTGTTTTCTTTATACTAGATATCTAAACTTCAAAAATCCTCATGAAGAACGAGAAAAACTGAAATTCATAATCCTATTTAGTAATATAAGGCCAATACAAGTATATATGTGAGTATACTTTTGGGCTAAGTGAGCTTAAAAGGAAAACTAACATAAGGAAATGAAGTATTGTCTCTTTTGTTGTAAATTTTTTTAAAGAGTTTCCTATGTGAAAAGTAAGTTCCTCTGGGTAAATTTCTGCCTGACAGTTAGATATTTCCTGTTAAATGCAAAATTAACATCAAGGTAACCATAAATTCATCAATTAAATAAAGTTTAGACAGATCTTTACTGAGTTTGGCCATAAACTTAATTCATAACAATACAGGAACAAGTCTGAAAGAAGAAAGTTTACATCTTTATTGAGTTTATTCATCTCATCACGGTTCCAGAAAGTATATGTAGCATATTTTCCCTTTTCATTACAGAATGTTAGGCTTGATTTGAGTTGCACATATGTTAACTGTGGACCCATTTACTGAAACATGGTTAGACATTGTACACCATAACTCATTAAAACATAGAAAATCATGGTAAAACATGGCTTATATTTAGAATTTTCATCTGGCGTTGTCTAACAATAGGAGGTACATTACCAAATTCATAAAATTTCAGTACATATAAATTCTTTGACCCTAAAAATTGACTGAACATGAAAGTTGAAAATAGGAAAAAAAAAAGTTTTCAAATCAGAGGATAGATAATTTTCTATAGAAACACCACAAACTGTTAATTCAGAAATTATTGCAAGGTTTTTTAATAATGCCAATAATGCAACTGGGTGAGTATCGCAATAATAAGAACTCACATTCTGATAATCAGATATCAGAATACATATATCTGTATTCAGCTTTTCATGAAATAGCAATAACTAATCTCGCATTTGTGCAAATTCTTCAAAAATAGCAATAATATATGCATGCAATAATTTCTGAATGTACAGTACATTGTACTATTAAAATAAAATATCATAACTTACAACAATGAAAACTAATGAACACAAACCTCACTAAACAGTTTTAAACTTGGGATGCTCCATAATGGTAAGCATTTTCTGTTCCACTTATTATATAATGGCCTCTTTAATTTTTCTCATAGGTAAAAATACCCTGACAAATCCCATTTGGTAATATCATAAATGAGGAACAGATGGACAGGACTGTGGCTAGGACCATTACTAATGTCCAAAATAGATGTTACATATGAAAGATGGATAACGAATGCAAAGTGATAATAAAAGAGACTTTTTAATGTAATAATAACAAAGTTAAAGAGAGGACAGGAAGATACAAAAGGAATAAACAAACTTGAAAGTCAAAGATAAACTGATTAGCCATGGCAAAAACGAAAAAAACTGACCAATGGACAAACAACAGTCTTCTACAAAACACTACATAGAAAACTAAAGAGTGAGCAATGTAATAATACATACCTGCTGTGCTTTCCGCTCGTCCTCCTGTTCTCTTTGCAATCTCTCTAACTCTTCTTTGGACATGACATAATTATCAGGTATCTTATAATCTCTTGGTCTAGGTTGGGAGCACATTTCACACCCAGGACGAGTTGGAAGATTTAAAAATGTACATGCTTGACAATGCCAACCAATCTACCAAAAAAATGTCTCTTATGAAAAATAAAAAATAATTCCTATCATGCTGCTCTGAGAAAAAGAGAATATCTATCACAAGAACATTTTACATTGTATTGTTTAAGATTTGATTGCATTATAAGATACAATTTTGTGATGATCTCCCAAACCAAACTACAGACTAGCTTGCTGCATGCAAACATCATACAACTTTGATTGCAAGATGCTCACTGCATGCTAAAAGATGATTGTGGCACTTTCTGCGGCCACACTGCATGCATGCAAGACTAGCATTATGCTCATCACAAGCTTGCAGCAAGCCTGCTACAAACAAAAGTTTTAAACTCTGATTGCAAGATGCTTGCAGCAAGCTAGTAGATGATTATGTAATTTTCTGCATGCATGAGAAAGAAAACTGCAAGCAAGTCAATGATTTCAGGAAGGAAGTACACTGGGATAACATAATATATTTTGACTGATATGCACTTATATAAAACTTAAAGTGATGTCATGTATGAAGTGTTTTGGCAGTCATGTTTTATCATGTTTGGGAAGGATAGCAGACAGAAAAGGGGACTCTTTTTGGTCTCACTTGAAAAAACAGGTATGCTTACATAAAACTAGAGGCTCTAAAGAGCCTGTGTCCCTCACCTGCATCTTCAACAATAGCCATTTTTTGGTAAAAATTATCATGAAAGGGCAATAACCCTATAAAGAGTTAACTGACAATTTCAGTCAAGTTGACATATTTGTAGATCTTGACTTGCTGATCATTTTTTCTCAAAAAATTTCTCTGTATCTATAATAGTTTTCAAAATGATAGACAAAAATGAAAAAAATTGATTATATTTGACATTTAAGATAGATCAGGTGTCTTCCGTCATCTTGGATTGTAAAATAGCAGCAAACAATCGGTCTAGATCTTTAATAAAATGGGCAAATTTTGAGAGATGTAAAACTCTTCAACTAAATAAAGAAAATTATGATTTTTATAATATTTTACGACTGTTTCTTACAAATACAGAACATTCATGTTTGATTAAATTTTTTTCAACTTTGCCATTTTTAACCATGTTTAAGGGGAGATAACTCTGACAAAGTTACTTTTATGTTATGAGTTTAGCTAGTTTGTTTTGTAGCATGTAAACGATCTGTGACCCAATTTTTTTTTTATTTTCTGAAACTTGCATGTTACCCCTATGTTCTATTTTTAGCCATGTGGGCCATCTAGGTTGACAGACGCGGTCATCAGACATATTTTAAAAACTAATAAGAGCTATCTTCTCATATTTTATCTTTAAATTCTATGGTTTAGTTTTCTTTTTATCGCACAAGATATGAGTTTCCATGCATAATCTATACAAAATTTTACAATTTTGCACAACCTGTAGCTTGAAAAGAAGCCCGGTGACCCATACTTTTTATTATATTTTTGAAAAAAGCATGATATAAACTACATTTTGGCAAATTATTATTTTTTTTTATTGATTATGATTTAGACCCCCATCTACCTTAAGGGCTATAGCTCCTAATAGAAGTCTTCTGACAGTTTTGACGTAAATGAACAGCAGGTAGATCTCAACATTCTCAACATTTCTGCTCCTGTCAGATTTTCTCTATTCATAGCTGTTTTCAAGATAATAGACAAAACTTGCATTTTATCCCTATGTTCTATTTTTAGCCATGTCAGCCATCTTGGTTGACAGACGGGTTCATTAGACATATTTTTTAAACTAACTTCCCCAATAATGATTGTGGCCAAGTTTGGTTAAATTTGGACCAGCAGTTTCAGAGGAGAAGATTTTTGTAAAAGTTAATGGACGATGACGGAGTACGACGGACGCCAAGTGATGAGAAAAGCTCACTTGGCCTATTGACCAGGTGAGCTAAAAACCTAAGAGTTAATTAGACAATAATGCTCTACATCAAATGGATATATTTTAGATTCTCTTACTGTGAGCAAAAAGGAATAATTGCAAAAAGATCAATTTTATAATGCTGAACCTGCCAAATCTCCCTGTATGAAAGTAAACCATCGCTTAATATAGTCTTCATTAAATAGCCTTAATATGAGACTATATATTTGGAATATGTATGAAATTAACAATTATATCACTACATCATTTGTTTGAGTCCAATACTTGTCAAATAATGCTTTTTTCCAACAAAATCAAGGGCAACTTGGGAGAGGACAACAACTAATAATAGTATTTTTTTTTATCCTGTAGTACCTAAATGGTGTACTTTGTCTGCACCAGTTCCAAAACGGGTGGTCAGATTTACTTAGGGTTCCACAATATGTCTAGTCTAGTGGTGCTATAAGGGTCTATTAAGGGTACTTTGAGGGGCCAACAGAAGGGAGGGTTAACTGTAGAACCTTATGGGATTTTAGAAAATTTTATTTAAAATACTATAACTTGGGAAAAGTTAGTGATAGACACATGGGGTCTTCAGTAATGATCATGGAACCATGTGGCCTACCTCAAGATTAAAAGGTTCACCTATGACACTGCTATTTAAACATTATTTCTGAATTTACACAAAAGTAAAAAAAAAAGAATCTAAAAAATTGAAAATGTTCTTCATGATATAACAAATCAAATGAAATATAGGGTGAGTCCCCATGGGTGTCTTCCCCACCCCCCTGCCATCTGTGAATGTTCTTATATCGTGTAAATGGTGGAGATCCCCGCCCCTAAACCTTATATATATATATATTGTCTAAAAATAGCAACAATCAACATTCAATCTATCTAGGTGTTGATCAGTTTGAAGATAAACTGATGCAGTTACTAAATTAAATTATATAAAGGCCTAAGAATGTAACTTTAACACACTAATGAGTGTTATAAAAATAGTTGTTATATTTTATATATTCACGCAATATTTCGCTAAACAAATTAGCTTCATCAGGCACGTGCAGCCATTCAGGTAAAATTCGGATGCTTTAAAGAAATTTTTGCAGCTTTTTGTACATGTCCTTTAAATATATTTTTGCAGCTTATTGTACATTGCAATTATTAAATCAAAACAAATAATTGTGTTAGTTAAATAGTAAAAAGTTCAAGATTTATTCCTTTGGTTTTTGATAAAACTGTTTTTCATCTCTCTCATTCAGTCCATCAGGTTCAAGAGTAAGTAGCTGATGCATCCAAAATCACTCTCTCTGTTTTCTACTTTGGGTGTCCCAATTTTGGTTGACCTGTATTATTTGAAAGGTGATCACCTAAAATAAATCTTGAACGTCTTACTATTTAACCACATATATTCCAGTTTGTCATACCAAGATGATTTGAATGATATACAGGTTTAGTCCCCAACGGTCAACCCACCCCTTCAGTTTGAGAATGTTCTATTATCTGGAGAATGGTCGAGATCCCCACCCCTAAACCATATATTTTCTTCAAGATGAATTGAATGAATAATAGGGGGAGTCCCAAGAGTATAGGAGACTTCGTAACAGCATCCTGTTACAATGATTTCTTGATCTGCAAGAAAACCGTAATCATCCTCCAATCAAATTATTGCTCATCCTGCAATCAAACAGTGATCATCTTGCAATAGAACCACAACATCCTGCAATCAAATGGTAATCATCCTGCAATAAAACCGCAATCAAATAAGATTGCGGTTTGCTTGCACAACTATTCTGCACAGTTCCAATTACATGTACTGTCAAATTGCTACCATGCATGCAAAAATGCTTGGGGCATGCATGCTTGCAATTAATGCTTGTGGTTTTGGTTTGGGATATGCTCATCACATTTTCAATGAGTTGAAACTAAATGATGTTAAGATGTTACTACAGGTTTTATCATGGAACTTTAAAATGCTTAGTCATTCACTTTGATTGTTATGGTGACAAATAAAATGAAGAGCTGAAACAACTGATAAATTGATGTTAGGCTTAATACTATGTAATATCAGTATAATGCACTTAGTTTAGACTTATCTTACAATATGTTGACTAGAATCTACACAATGTTAAGTTGAAAGTACATGATGCTAAGCAAAGATTGCACTATTTTATCCTATCATTAATATTTCACAAAAGGCTTATCCCCTAGGTCTAAATGACAATATCATTGGCCAAGGGAACATATCTAAAACTTCCTCTATTGGTATCATGACTATTGTTGATAAAAGACAATGCAATCATAGGCTTCATGGCAATCCCATTAACCGCATTCAACGAAATAAACATCTTTCTAATTTTACACTTGATGATTTTTTATCTAGTTTTAAAAACAATGGTAGACATCAATTATTATGCAAACTGGGTCAAATGCCAATTATTAAATTACAAAATATTTATAACGAGTGTTGTTAACTATTTAGTTTAGTAGTTTAGTTATTAAGTTTAATATTCAGTCTTTAGTTCTATGTATCTTTGTATTTACAGTTTGTAACTTGGTGGGTTTAGATTAAAGTTGTACAGAGAACATTTAAGTAATTTATAGTCATTTAACAGTGGTAGCAGAGCTCACAACATCCGGCAAGATGGCGACTGCTCTGAGTTATAAGAACCCACCAAGTTTGACAATAGAGAAATCATACCAGCAATGGAAGAACGAAGTGAAGATGTGGCAACTGGTTACAGAATTGGACAAGGAGAAGAGAGGCCTAGCACTTGCATTGTCTTTACAAGGAAAAACAAGAGAAGTAGCATTAGAAATAACACAAGAGGATCTGAATGTTGATGAAGGAGTTGACAAATTAACAGCAGAATTAGATAAACTGTTTGAAAAGGACAAGATAGATCAAGCTTTGCGGGTCTAAATGGTTACATCAATTTTTAGACACTTTTGACACTGAAAATGAAGAAATAAAAAGCAAGGAAAGTCATACACCTTTCAAATTTGGTGATGGTCAAACAGTGTATTCTTATCAGTCTGTAAAGTTACCTCCCACAATTGGATCTCTAAATTGTTACATAGAAACAGAAGTAGTTGATTGCGAAATACCTCTATTATTAAGCAAAGATTCTTTGAAAAGAGCACAAACAGTTCTTGATCTCC